GACTTGAGGAATTAGAATAAGTACATTGGGGTCTGACACATCTGGTGGATCAGTTTATATTCTAAATCTCGTTGAACCATTGGATTTTAATCGAAGTATTCCTCTCATTAGACGAAGGATACACGAGGTTGCTTCTTTCAATTGTTCCATCTGGACAGCTGATTGTGGATCTAGTGGAGGTAGAGCTGTGATTGGTATGTTTCTTGTGTTCACTGGATTCTTATTATCATGTTATCATGTTGGAGCCTTAGTATAATGTGCCATACTCTCATATCTGAGAAACTCTCCTGTTCTTGCTTCCCATATTTTTTGGTATGAGGTTCGACAGTTTCATTATATGAAACATTGCTTATATCTGATACTTGCTTGTTCTCTTTGTAAATGTTTTAATCCGTAAGTAGTGTTTCTACATTATAAAGTTGCATGTGTTTACTGGTCTTTTATTTCTACGTGTGGAGTTTTGCTCTATTTGGTTTGAACATTTAAAAAGAATTGGCTTGAAATTAGATTTCCCCATCTTCGATTCTGGTCAATGACTTCTTTGGTATTAGATTTCCTTCTATATTAGTCCATGATGCTTGGGGCTCACATTCTTCTTCTTAGAGAATTGAAGTTAGGAGGATGCTAAAGGATGAAGAATTGGAAGAATATTTATCTTTGCTGTTATGTTTAAATCCGATTCAGCTTTGTGATGATGAGGATAAATTGAAATGGCGTTTAAACTCTTCAGAATCCTTTTCGATTAGCTCCCTTTGTAAGCCTAGAGTTGGTTCTTCATATCTGCCAAAGGATTTTGTTTCAAGATTGTGGAATTCGTGCAGCCCAAAAAGGGTGAGTGTTCTATCATAGATTCTCCTTAATGGGAAAGTAAATACTACCGAAACTCTCCAAAAGAACCTGCGTAACATGCTCCTCCATCCTTCTATATGTGTTTTGTGTGGTGCCAATTGCGAAGACCAAGTGCATTTGTTTCTCTTTTGTCCTTATGCATCAATTTGTTAGGATCTCTTCTTTCATATGTTCAATTTAGCTTGGCTAAAGGACAGGTCAGTATCTCATCAACTTTTCAGCTGCTATTTGGTCCTTTCTTTTCATCTAAAGCAAGTTTTCTTTGGGTAAATGGTTTTAAAGCGCTTATTTCCGAGTTATGGTTTGAGCATAATCAAAGGACTTTCGAAGGAAAAAGCCGCTCAACTTTCGAACGCTTTAGTATAGCTAAGTGCAAAGCCTCGCAATGATGTGCTCTCTCTGATCTCTTTGAAAATGATTCTCCTAGCATGATTTGTTCTAACAGGGAGGTTTTTTTTTTATAATGTTTAAGCTTCCTTTCATTCACTGTACTAAGTTTTGTTTGTTTGTGTCTTTATTATTATTATTTTTTAATAAGAAATGACACTTTCATTGAGAAAAATAAGAAGAGATACAAGAACAAAAGGGGCTACAAAAAAAAAACAGCATTGAGAGAAGGAGCCCCTTAAAGAAAAGAACTCCAATCAAAAACATTAGAGGAGTTCAATTTGAGTTGGGTTTTTGCTTTGAGGTCAAAGACATTTCGTTGCAGCTGTTCTGTGGTCCAGTTTTTAATCCTAAGGCTGATCTTCTATGGTTGAATGCCTCAAAAGCTATTTTAGGGTAAAAGACTTTCAACCCCTGAGCGGTTCAGCATTGCCAAGTTTCAAACTTCTCATTGGTGTTCTCTTTCGGATCTTTTTGGAAGCTACTCTCCGTCTCTCATCAATGCCAATTGGGGAGCTTTCATTTTCCCCTCTTAAACTGTTTGTTTCATTGGCTTTAGATTATTCTTGTATTCTTGTATTCTTTTTTCTTTCACTAGTTTGTATCATTGAACAATTTTTGTTCGTTTTTATTTATCAATGAAAAGTTCGTCTCTTGTTCAAAAAAAAAATTCAACATACGGCAGATTTCTAACTTCAACCAAACCAACATATGAGTGTACGCCGTTGATCTTTCCATGTTTACTCTNATTGTGGATCCATGAACTTGATGATTAAGGAGATATATGAGAGGAATATGTTGTGGGATTCTTTTTCTGTATCCTTCTACGCTCTGGTCCATGTTCTGATAAGTGTTGAGGTGATTAACATCATGTATCTATTTTGGTTTCTGCAGGAACCAGCATGGGAGCTGCTTCAGTTGATATGGGAACTGGCAGGATATCATGGATCTTACATGGTAAAAGTGACGTTTTTGCGCTACAACTCATTCATTCGGTAATTCACTTTGTTTTGGTGTGTGAATGTATATAGTTCACTTGAGTAACTTCTTATTACTGCATAACTCTTGTAAATATGTGAAATGTTTTTGTGTCTTTTTTGCAGCATGGGTGTATATAATTTTCCCAGAACCTAGATTAGCCAATCTGTTTCCTATGACAGTATGACCTTAATGCTTAAGGCTCAAGTACAATTTGTGCTGTGGGATTATGTAGCTTGATTCAGCCATCTGCCTCAAAAGTTTTTAATTTTTAATTTTTTTTATAAGAAACTGATAAATATATTGAAAATAAGGAGCATAGGAAAAAAAGAAGGGAAGAAGAGATATCCCAACAAGACCAAAGGGTCACAGAAAGGAAGCCAATTGGTCAAGATATGTACAAGATCATAGTTACAAAATGGAATGGAATGAGAACTTCAAATGGATATCAAGCTCTCACTTGACGGTCCCAGAAATCCTCAATACTAGAAGCTATCTCTTTGAAGACCCTCTGGTTTCTCACGTACCAAACCCTCCACAGTGCATAAAATTCTAGCTTGTCCTTTAAATGAAATCCCTCTTAGAAGCTGAATTAGGCAATATCTGTTCTACTGGAAAAGCATCATTGAATACCAAAAAGATTCAGTACCCTGGACCATACGCAAGAGGAAAATAGATATTTTCAAGCATGAACTAGCCATCTGCCCCGACAGTTCTCCACTACTTTATTAGCTTTGATTGTCAAGATAGATATTTTCAGCTTCAAGTCCTAGATTGATAAAATCTCTCATATTTTTCGTTATTTTTTTTCTACATAATTTTTTTTAACAAAAAAATGTGAACTTTTCGTTAATATATGAAAAATTACAAGCTATACCATGTTGATAAAGCCTCAAAACTGGAAAATGCATAATTACAACAACCTTTAAGAATACAAGATATAAGCCTAACTATTAACGACTGTAACAATATAGCCCTCCCAATACTAAGATAACATAATCAATTCAAATAACTAAGAAAAAGTAACTTCCTGACTAATTTGATTTAAATCATTAAATAGTTTATTGAAACCGTTTTTCCGATTTGAGTGTTCGATATGTGTTTTTTCATTCATTGATGTTGATAAGATTCCTCCATTTAGCAGCACCTTAGGATGGCTGGAGAGAACCATTAGCTTAGTTTGGCTTATAGTGGAAGTCTTACTTCTAGTTTGGCAGATACTACTAGGATCGTGTTCCCATTTCTCAAAATTTGCAAATTTTCTCGTGTGTAAAGTTCTTTGTAGTCATGGAAATTCTTATTGCGATAGTACTAATCTGAGAAGTTATTGCTCTTTCTGGTAAGGAAGCAGATAATTCATTGGTGAAACAATATTAGAGTTGAATGCACATTTAAAACCAGGAAAGCAACCACTGGACAGTAAAGGATCATAAAAGAAGAAAATCACTTTAAACATGACCAAGGTTATACTAGTGTCAGTACGGAGAAGAGGCAAACAAGTAACATAATTGTTGAATCAATTACAAAGCTGTTTGTTGAGTAAAGTTGTTTGATGACCTGGTAATCTCATTAAAGTTGCATGTTCCATATCTTAGTTGGATTGCTCCTAAGTTGTTTACTAGATTCATTCTGTTACCAAGAATACCTCCTTTATAGTTTTATATTTTAAGAGTTCTACAAAATAGGTTGGTGGGATCATGTTTTATGGTTTCTATTAAATCGCCACTTTTTTTAGATAAGAGACATTCTTCATTTCAAAAAAACAAAAGGTAACCGCCTAAGGGTTGGGGTAGAGAGAACCCCACTCAAGAAACTAGACAATCTCTTTCCAATTGTTAATGACCATGGAAAGGTTGTAGTTACAAAAGAATTTCCTATAATTGATGCACCACCAGGAGGTGGTGTACTGTACATTCCCACAAAAAATGTCAAAAGTAGAGGACCTATCTTCAAAAACACGAGAATTCCTTTCCAACCAAAGATGCCACATTAGAGATCTCGAGGCACAATTCTATAAGAATTTCGTCTTCTTCGGAAGGTTCCACCCGTGGAGAGCTTCAAAGAGAGTTATCTATTTGATTAGGGAGACAGAGAGATAGCCCAAAAATGTCAAGGAGGAAAAACCACCCTTTTTTGGCAAACTGACAGTGAAGGAAAAGATGATCTAAATTTTCACTACTATTCAGACCAAGGCTGCACACCGAGGGATACAACATTCACCTTCTGCACTTCTTTTGAAGATTTTCGTGGGTGTTCAGGCTTCTATGTGCTACAGACCAAAGGAACACCTTAACCTTCTTCGGGGCAGAAAACTTCCAAATAGCTAAAATTAAAGAAGATCTCAAAGAGGGCCTACAGTCTACTGCCTTCAAAAGGGCAGATTTTGTAGAGAAAATCCCTCCTTTTCCAAGAGACCACCCTACTCGATCTTCCCCTTCACCTAACCGCACCGCATCAATACAATGAATAAAATCCATCCAGCTTTCCACTTCCCAGTCATACAGCCCTCTTCGAAAGCCCAAGTCCCAATCGTTTTCAGTACTATTCCAACATTATGCAACTGTGGCCGTTTTCTTCATGGAGAGGTTGAACAAAAGGGGGAAAGTAATTTGAAGAGGGCTGTCCCCTATCCAATGGTCTGACCAGAATTTTATGTGACTTCCTCTTTGCACCTTAAAGCTGAGAAATTTGGAGAAGAAACTGCTGTTTTTGAAAATGTCAAACCATGGCCGCCCTTTAGATCTGCCTTTTGGTGGGAGAGAGGACCATCTGAGAGAATCCTCCCCGTAAATGCTAACGATTATCTTACGCCACAGGGCTTCGTTCTCTTGAGTAAACCTCCACAACCACTTCAGGAGCATACTGTTACTTTTTTGTTTCAAAGCCCCTATGCCTAGCCCTCCCAAATGTAGAGGAAGGGCAGTTTTCTCCCAACTCACCAAATGGTTGCAAGAGCCTTTCATACAGCTTCCGTTCCAGAAAAAATTCCTTGCTAGCTTTTCAATCTTATTGATCACTCCCGTTGGAGCTTTAAGAATGGAGAAAAAATATAAAGGGAGACTATTAAGCACGGATTGGGCGAGAGTTAGCCGGCCCCCTTTAGGGAGGTTGAGGTGTTTCCACTTGTCTATTTTCTTTCGAACTCTATCAATCAACGGGTCCTAGAAGGCTTTCTTTCTATAATTTCCCCCCAGAGGGATACTCAAATAGGAGAAAGGTAGCCTTTCGACTTTGCAACCCAAAGTATCAGCCGAATTCTGCACATCTTCTTCCACATTGATCCCAATCAAAGCTGTTTTTCCCAAATTCAAGGAACGCCCCGTAGCCTGTAAAAGGATATCCAGCGTCGTCCACCAATTCTCTAGCAAACCTGATTCATTAGGACAAAAAATAATAGTATCATCTGCGTACTGAAAATGGGAGATCTCTACCTGCTGTCCACCTACCCCAAAGCCTTTAATGAATCTCCGTTGGCAACAAAAGTTTTGGGTTCAGTGGCGATTTTCATGAGCTTTTACTTTTTTCCTTTGGCATGTTTGTCACATTCATTGTTATTGACTTGTAACAAGCTCCATAAATTGCACTAGTTTTTATGAGGTTACATTCTGAGACTCGCAGAAAGTCAGGCATTTATGCAGAAGTTTTTCCAAGTGTCCACGTTAAAGAACAAATATTCTTTTTATTCTTTTTCTTTTTCTTTTTGGTTCCATTAGGACTTAGAAACACCTTTACAATCAAAATTCTGGGAACTAATACTCTACCTTTTTCTTGTATGAACTCTGATGTTGAATTGTTTTTCCGATGTTGAATTGTATTTTGTATTAATTTATCTGACAACTTGTAGCAGGAAACTGTTGTTCTGTGTGGACTTAGAAATGGCATGATTGTGACAGTTGATACTCGTGAAAGACAGGAAGTAGTCAAAAGACTTTTAAGGCATCGAATTCCTTACTCGCCTGTAGGTAGAAACTCCAGAACATCTTCTCAGCAGTGGTTTAAGGTAATAGCATTACTCTGGTCTAGAAATTTTTCTGGTAAATCAAATTGTTCTTCTTTCTTATCTAAATATTCAATGTTTGTTTCATGTAGAAAAAGATAATAAATTTACGAGGTTTGGTTTCAAGATATTGAAACTTTTAACTACAATAGGTTGGCGTTGATCCAGTGGTTAAAAGGACTGTAAATCCTGGTGTCTTTAAATTGTAGGTTTAATTGTACAATTTAATTTATCGCAACCATCTAACTAAGATATCAAATATGGATTTCCAACTTCACGTCGTAGGATTAGATATTTAGCCCATGAGATTAGTGGAGGTGCACGAAAGTTTTCCCACACACTTGCAGGTTTAAAATAAAAAGATATTGGATATAATATATATTGCCAGTACTAAATACTACAAAATGTCTTAAGGAAGTTTCTCAGAAGAATCTTGGAATAGTGAATGCTCTCAACTGTTGAGTTTCTTTACAACTAAAACCATGAATAAGATATAGAAACTTTTGAACAGGACTTTAGGCAACAGTTTGAGGTTGTTTAAAAGTTCTACATGCTGAAAGTCTATTTAATTCCTTGATATATTCTAGCAGTTTTCTGTCTAGCGTGGATCTTAGTAGGAAACTCTCTTAGATTCTGTGAATTGTTGATGTTAGGTTGCTACCCCTTCCTCAAATTTTACGTTTCTCTTTATTAAGTCCTTGCACACATGAACTTTGCAATCTTCTTGAAGGTGTACTGTTTTAGGCCATAAAAACTGTAGATGACGTTTTGAGTACTTTGGCATGCAGCTCACGGGGAACATTTTCCCTTCTTGTACCGTCAAAATGCCTTCATCCATATCCAGGTAAGTCTCTATTTCAAATTATAGAAGTCTGACGGTTTCTTTGTATAATTTAAATTTTTTTAACAGTTTTCCCCTCCCTCCCCAAACAAATATTCACTAGCTTGGCTTCGCTTCAGTTTGACGACCGATACTTTTTGGCAAGCTCCATGGATGGAACGGTTAGTATGCACTTTTCTTTAAATTGTATGGTGAAAAGTGGTAAAAAGACGCATGCTTGTGCAACTAAATGCTGTGTCATTGATTAGTTAGAACGTCGATGAAGATTTCATTTTGATAGAGCTCTTAACTGAAATACGACAATTGATAATACTTGAGGAGTGAAAATTATAAACCATGAGACAATTAGAGAGGTTTAGTTCTCTTCCCTTACCATTAACCCACTTTCTACCATGCCTCCCATGTCTCACTCCACATATTATGAATTAAAAATAATACGAAAGGGGATGGAATCCTCAATCTCAACCCGGATCAAGAAGGAAGTTAACAAAAGATCTTCCATTTGGTACTAACAGTGATTCTTTGTTTCCAAGGAGTGACTAGATAAATTAAAAAATTTTGGGGTCTCCAAGAAATAGAAGTTTATCTAAGATCATACTCGTATAGTACTAGAGGATGTTGAGAGGAAAAAGCTGAGAAGATGGTGATTTTAAGTCTTGATGGAGGGACAAAACAAAAATTATTTGGTTAAAGGAAGGTGATTACAAAATACCTCTCTTTCATCCTTTGTTGGCTGCAGGGAAAAGGAGGAACCTCATTTCATAAATTACTTTAGAAGATGGAAAAAGTTTGTTAGAAGACGAGGAAATGGAAATTGAAACTATGACCTACTTTTTGCGAGCTTGTATTCGAAGTTACCTAGCCAAAGATTTAATCTCTGAGGCTTGATATGGAATGCTTTTCTGAACATAAAAATCAAGCCTAGGAAAGGTCTTTTGATTTGAAGGGATCTTGGAGGCTGTTAAAGATCTCGGGGGAGTCAAAGCAACATGCTTAGATATTCAGGTGATCCATTTAAAATTAGGGAACACTCTTCAAACCTGATTTTTTGCCGTTTTGGCATTTCTCCATTTTTTTGATATGAAACAAATTTTTCATTGATGGTATGAAATATACAAAAGGGTCATGGACAATTACAAAAACGCCTCCCAATTTGCGATAAGGTCATTTAGTGAGTAGCTATTGTAGGACGTGTAGAAACTTTTGCACCAACCAAGAGCTAAAATAGTAATTCTATTAAAAAAAAAGAATCGAAAGGGAGGGACTTGTCATTAAAGGCCCTATTGTTCCTCTCTAACCATGAACTCCAAAGGAAGGCCCGAATAAGGTGTATCCAGAGGGTTGCTGAATGTTTTCTGAAGGGATGATCCGCCAAGAGACAATCAAGGAAGGTAGAGGGGTGGTTGTGTGGTGCTGTCTTCCACCCAAAGTCAATAAGGATCCGATCCCAGAGCCTAGTGGCAAAATTGCTGCTGATGAATAGGTGTCCTTGAGTTTCCGAGGCCCTGTGGGGCAGCAGTTGGCATTTTCCCATGATTTTATGTTCTAAATAAGGACAGTTGAATATATGTTTAAAGGAGAGTTATATTTGTTTGATTCGGAAAAGGGATAGAGATCGAGACTTTTGACCAATTGGCATTGTGAATAGGGAAGGTGCTAGCTAAGTTTTTGAACAGATGATAAATGGAGTGCTGCCTAACTGTTCTTGAGAATCGGGCAACCTTTATTGATGGCCAAATCATTGATCTGATTCCATTAACTAACAAAGCTGTGGAGGTAAGGTAAGAAAAAGATGTAAAAAGAAGGGTTGGATCATCAAAATTGATATCAGAAAGGCTTAGAACATAGTAGATTGAGATTTTTTATTGGGAATCTTGTATTCCCTATTCCCTCAGTCCCATACTTAACAAAATATTCCTTGTGGCCTTCCTTCATGTGGAGTTCCCTGCAGTTGCAGAACCTCCCTACTAATCGGCTCATCTATCCTCCTAAGTTCCCAGCATAGGTAAAATGCAATGGGGATTTGTTTTTCCTATCATCATTTGTGTAATTCTCATTTACGCATCTGTTTCTATAGGTAAGACTTTATGATCATCGCCTTATCCAGAGAGGTGCTGTACAAACCTATGATGGGCATGCAAATTCACATACTCGTATACAGCTTGGAGTTGATCCCTCAGAGACATTTGTCGTGTCTGGTATTATCATTTCAGTGCAACCGTGCATGCTTTTTTTTTTTCCTCCTATTCAGAAATCTCAAAGTTCTTGGAAACTTGAGTTTGCACTAAAATATATTCTGCTTATAGGCGGAGAAGACTGCTACTTTCGTCTGTGGAATATCAAGTCTGGTAAATTGATATTTGAAGATAAGTTTGTTGATGCTGTCCCCTCAACCATATGCTGGCGAAGAGCTGAAAGTAATAACTGTTCTCTAGTGTTTATTTCGGCTCTTTTTTTATTTGTGTAATTCTATTGCTATATTGTTGTCTATTAAACTACACCCAGGATTTCTGAGAGGGCAAGACGGATACCGAGGCTGGGAAGAGCATATTTCGGGAGCATGGCTTGGGTCACAAGGAGGGCTTCATTATGTGAGCTGGCCAAGGACATGAATGAAATTGTGTGAGGATTTCTGGCCAATCTAGTTTGGCTTTCTAGAATTGCGATAATTTAACCTTTGAGTGGAGTATAGGTTCTGCTTTTATGTATATATGCTTCAGCTAAGGAATGAAGTCACTCAGAGTCAGCGGGTAAGGTCATCAGTTTTAATTTACTTTTTCTTCTTTGTAAAACTTTCGGCAGAACCATATTACGAGCTGTTTCCTTAGGTTGTAAATGCATAGAAATATATAGTTACATTTCTGTTTTATGATATTTCAATACAAAAACCAGATATTTATTGATGTAAAACAGCACTTTTAGGTTCAATGAACTATAGTTGGGTCTATTTTGGCCAGGAAGATGTCTATTTTTTTTTTTTTTTTTTTTTTTTTAACAAGATACAAACTCCCATAGTAGTGAAGAAATGAATAATAAAGACAAAAACAAAAAATATAAGAGTCCCAAAGACAACCAAAAACAACAGCCAAACAAAATACAAGATGTCATCTTGTTTTCTATTGAAAAAATAACAGCCAGGAAGATCATCAAGATACATGTCATAAGATGCTAATGCAAATACATAATGTTTTATTATCCTTAATCATAACGTAAATCTTCGAAAGATAACTTGTTCCGTTGTTTTCTTTTGTCTCTCTCACTCACACACATTCTATCTGGGGAGGGGGTCGTGAATGTAAGTCAATATAGTGGTTCAACATGGATACCATTTGAGATTATTCAAGATAGTAGAGAAGTACAGAGGGACGTCATTCAATATCAAATTACAAAGCTGGTTAAATTTACAATTTTAGTACCTTGTTTATGTAGGGTGATATTTTGAATTCACTACAAAAGCTTGAAGATAATTCTAACATTTTAAGTAAACTCAAATATTGTGGTATCTGGAAAGGTCATATGTGTGTCCCTTGGTCAATTTTTTTACTTACACGGTTGATGGAGGCCATGTTAAACTGGAAGCTTCATAACACTTGGGGTACAAGTCAGGTACACTTAGCATTTATTGTAATATTTGGTTGTTTTTCCGACCGGTTTAGGTGGAACAATGGTTTGGACAACAAAGTGTCGACTTTTAGATTGACGAGAAAAAGCTTCAACAATACTTTGGCTGCTTTTATTAAAGTAAATAAGAATACTTCTGATTATCCTTGTGGATGATTTGACAGCTTGTGTTCTCTCAATGGGCAATCTTTTACATTTTTGCTATAAACAGTGGGGCGCTCTACATTTTCTGATGAGCAGATTTTGGATTGGCTGTGTTCCTGTCACAAAAGCTCTTTAAAGTAAAATAACACAACTGTGAAGATTGTAAGATGCTTGGATTGCCGGAGGCAAACCACCAAAGGTTTGCTTATCTTCTGCTAGAGAGAGATGTTTAAATGAAATTCTTTTAGAAATTCGAAGAGACAAATATTAAGATAGATTTTCATGTTTGACTTGAACATGCTTTATGGAAAGCTTTGGTCATGATGGAAAGTGATGGAATATAATTCCATTACAATCATCTTTGCGCTTTTACAGATGTAGCA